TGCGCGGGTCACCTCGAGAGGCTCCTACAGCGACTATGCTCTTTTCTATCGCGAGGAGGGCCTTCTCGAGGAGGTCTACAGTGAGTGTGGTGGGACAGACTGAGAGAAAGTGGTCCCTGACTACTCGAAGGGAGTCAGGGAGGCGAGTGACTAGGAAGTACAGAGTGATGTACATGGGGGGGGGGTTCGCGGTGCAGAAGTCAGCAGGAAGTGCAGCGCGGGTAGCGAGTGTCACTAGTGCGGAGGTGCGTAATGAGGTCAGCAACGGTGGGAAAAGAAGCAAGGTCAGGGAAGAGGTACGGCAGCATGAGACGGCTCAGTGCAGCAGTGGAAGGGGAGGAGTAGCGCGCGACTACAGCGGCGTACAAGGTCTGAGCACTCTTGTACTGACTAAAGTGCGCATGCTCGGAGGTAGGGAGGTGGCGACGCACAGCAAGACGTGCAGCAGCATCGCGCGTGGCCCACTGGGAGCGAACAGTGGCGTCAGCATCAGCAGCAGGGGCAGGGGAAGCGCCAGAGGTGAGGTCAAAGAGAGAGAGGCCGTCCGCCCTATCGCACTGTAAGAACAGCTGTAGGTCATCTACCCAGACCTCAAAGTCAATGGCCCGACCCTCAGCGTCAAAAGTGAGGACACTAGGGGTAGCCATGACAGCAGTAGACCAGCAGTGCAAGGAGTAGGGGAAGAGCACGCAGTGACAGAGGGTCTGTGCTCACCGGACAGGGCTGCTCGGGCGGCTCGGCTGCAGGGCGGCTCGGCGGCTGGGCGGCTCGGCAGCTGGGCGGCTCGGCGGCTGGGCGGTCGGCTGCACGGCGGCTCGGCTAGTGGGCGGCCGGGCGGCTCGGCTGCAGCGCGGCTTGGCGGCGGGGCGGCTCGGCTGCTCTGCTGCTGGGCGGCTCGGCTGGGCCGCTGACGTAGGGCGGCGGGGGCCGCTGTAGAGAAGCGGCGGGGCCGCAGTGAAGGGCGGCGGGGCCGCAACGAGAGAGGCGGCGGGGCCGCAGCGAGAGAAGCGGTGGGGCCGCGAAGTCGGGCGGCGGGGCCGCTGAGTAGGGCGGCGGGGCCGCAGTGAGAGGCGGCGGGGCCGCAGCGAGAGAGGCGGCGGGGCCGCGAAGACGGGCGGCGGGGCCGCTGAGACGGGTGGCGGGGCCGCAGTGAGTGGCGGCGGGGCCGCAGCGAGAGATGGCGGCGGGGCCGCGAAGACGGGCGGCGGGGGCCGCAACGAGAGAGGCGGCGGGGCCGCAGAAAAGGGCGGCGACGGGCCGTAGGCGGCGCGAAGCCGCAGGTAAGGGCGGCGACGGGCCGGGGCGGCTCGAAGCCGCAGGTAGAGGCGGCGCGAAGCCGCGGGAAGGGCGGCGACGGGCCTGGGCGGCGCGAAGCCGCAGGTAGGGGCGGCGCGAAGCCGCCGGTGAGGGCGGCGCAAAGCCGCGGGTAAGGGCGGCGACGGGCCGGGAAAAGGGCGGCGCGCCGCAGCCGCTAGGGCGGCTCGACGCGACCGTAAGGGCGGCGCGACGGGCCGCTAGGTGCGACTCGACGGGCCGCTAAAAAAAGGCAGGCGCGACTCGAGGCGCGCTTCGGTGGGCCCAAGGAACAGTCCCTAGGAGGGGACCTGCTCTGATTCCATGTGAGAATGAGAACGAGAAATGGCTGAACTATTAAAATGAAGTGAGTACAAATATGAAACCCTAATTGGTTGTACCCCCTATGGGATACCCCACTATAGCCTACACAACAGCATAAGCTATAATGTTCTGACAGAAAGCTCGATTTTAACTGTTTCTGCTGTTGCGGTTCGATACAGTGACGACTCGGGTAACTGCTCAGTATCGAGTCAGTTATGTGTCCTTGCTGTCGCACTGCATTTTTTGTCAGGTCAAAGGTCAGTGACCTTTGACCTTCGCGTAACCTCCAGCGTTTGTCTTTAGTTGACTCGCGTGTTGTTTCGCTTGTAGTCTGCTTCGTTTCGTGTCGATGCTTCGATTACTTCAGAAGCGTTTAAGTTATTTGTTTCCAACACAAATGACCGTTTTTGTCTAGCAACTTAGGACCAGGGCTAATTTTTGGTTTTGAGCAACCCTTGTGATCAGTGTTGCACCTGTTCAAAAACCTGATTATCAGTGTGACACCTTCTTCAAACCCTGATCCATCAGTGTTTTTCTTGTTTTTTTTAAATCCAACCCTGTGGCATCAGTGTACCAGTTTAGCAAACCCTTATGAATTGATATTATCGTTGCACACAATATTTTTTTTAGATCATACATGCCACATGGGTGTTGCTCGTCGTCAGTTACTTCAGCAGGCTCAAATTCCGGTTTCGACATTTGGCAATCGGGAATCCCGGGGTTACGGGAAAGGGGGGGTGGGGGAAGTGGGGGGAGGGGGAGGGGGGGGGGTATGGTACTCGCTTCAGGGTAATACTCGTTATGAAGAACGGTAACCCTGAGGCATCAGTGTGCCTGAAATGTGAACCCTGGCATATCAGGAAAATCATAGCTCCACAAAAAATTACCCTAGGCCATTAGTGTGACTACCAAAAACCACCATGATAATCAGGGTATCAGGGTGATTTACACTGATAAAATTAGCCTTGATTAGGACTCCAAGGTCACCTAAAATCTCAATCCGGTACCAAATATCTTATTTCTGTACATATCTTCAAGCGTTTTGTTTTGTGTCAAATCTAATGCAGCGCAGAAATCGACGCCGAAATCCACGCCGAGCAGCAAGACATGGACCTGCAAGAAGAACGACACAAGAGAAAGGTATCAGTGCCCGAATTCGCGTTTCACACTCAACGGCGCCACAACAACAACAACAATCGACCGAAAATCGTACCTCCGTTCTGCCACCTCTGCAAGACTTCAGGGCATCCTCGTACGCACTGCCCGAATCGACAACAGTCAACGTCGCCGCAACGCCAACTTCGCCCTTCAAGCAGTCAAGTCGCCTCAACGCAAGCAAATCCGACAACTTCAGTACAAGTCTCAACAACATCGACGGGACAACCTGCGAAAGGAACAAGAAACATCGTCAGCTGCATGGCAAGGCTGAGTGACTCCTGCGTAACTGAGTCACCACCATATTACTCACCAGAAGAACAACTCGACAACAGCACGCCTCGCCGCGAGTCACTTCAACCGAACCCGACGTACGCCGCCATCGCTCAAAGCGAGCCGTCCGGGAAGGATACATGGTTCTTGGACAGTTGCTGCGGACAACATATGTGCTCTGATACCATGTTGGAAATAAGAAGTCGCTAGAGCGCAGCGGAAGCTCTAGGAATTAACGACGTCCCTACGGCGGGGCTATTGGTCACTCAGAGGTAGCTCTCCTGGCTTGTAACGTGGTGCCAAAGCAGCGGCCGAGGGTAGGCCGGACACAAGCTTGAGAATTGTGTAATATGAGCAAGGCATTACATGTTGTTATATAGCAAACGCATAGGGCAAACAGTTACCAAGGCGCAACTGTATAACAGTTGCGCTGCGTCGCTTGGGTCGCTTGTTTTTCTCCAAGTAAAACAACATGGTAATCCTTTTCTTCTAATGTCGCGTAACCTCCAGCGGTTACTTCAACCTCCGAGGGTTGACTCGCTGGTGCCTCGATATGCTCTGCTTCGCTTGTGCCTTGGTGTTTCGACACGACAGAGGCGCTTAAGATTGTTTGTTCCCAACACTCCCCTTCGCTTCTGGAGTGTCGCTGCTGGTGACGTGGCTTTGTCCAGTCAGCAGCATGCAGTACTCGAACTTTTGTTTTCCGAGCTTCTTGGTCAAGTAGTCAGCTGCCATCTCGGACGTGGGACAGTAGGATAGTTCAAGTCTCCCCTTCTCAATCTCGTCTTTCACGAAGAAATATCGCAGAGCGATATGCTTCGTTCTGTTCGCGAATCCATTTTTGTTGGCGATGCGAATTGCAGATTGGTTGTCGCAGAACAGAGTGAAGTTGGGTAACTCGGCTAACTTCGCTTCTTCCAGCAGCTCGCGAAGATAGAGTCCTTCCTTGGTGGCTGAGCAGAGTGCAATATATTCTGCTTCAGCTGACGAGAGAGCAATTAATTCCTGCTTGCTCGATTGCCAGGAGATCGGTCCGATAGGTTCGAGGCGGTAGATGTAGCCGGTGCGGGAGCGTGAAAGTCAAAGGTCAGCGACCTTTGACTTGACAAATGCAGCGCGACAGCAAGGACACACAACTGACTCGACATTGAGCAGTTGCCCGAGTCGCACTGTATCGAACCGCAACAGTAAAACAGTTTAATTATATCTCTTCGTATTCTTTGTACTCTTATATAAACCTTTGTACTTGCTTGTTTTAATCAACTTACTTTGCCCTCACATACCAGCGCAAGGTGGTTCAAGGGCTTCATTTAAACGCTTCCGCTACTACATCACTCTACCCAGAGTTTAACCCTACCAAAGATCCTAAGGGGCACTCAGCCCAACATGGTATCACGAGCAAGAGTTGTGATAATGAGAACGAGAATGAGTGAACTATGAAAATGAAGTGAGTACAAATATGAAACCCTAATTGGTTGTACCCCCTATGGGATACCCCACTATAGCCTACACAACAGCATAAGCTATAATGTTCTGACACACCCCCATAGGCAAAGTGGGGGAGAACAAGGGGTCACAAGACCAGTCAAGCAAAGCAAAGCAAAGCAAGCTCAGGGTGGATCACAAAGTCACCACACAGTCCGAGCACAGGGTCAAGGCCACACGGCCAGTTCACATGCAAGAGTACACACATATATATAAAGCTAGACAAGCAAGAGCAGGTATATAAATATGTGAGAGTACAAGCAAGGTCAAGAGGAGAGCAAGTGAGGCAAGACGGGCACAAGACCCAGCTGAGTGCAGAAGCGCTGATGATCACAAGGCGGAAGTGCCTTGGTGAAGACATCAGCAGTGTTGGCCTCAGAGGCCACGTACGCAAGCCGCAACTGTCCACATTGCTGTAGCTCACGAGCAAGGAAGTAGCGGAGAGCAATGTGCTTTGTTCTGTGCTCCAGTCACTGCTCTCGACACAAGGCCAGCATGGCCTTGTTGTCTACGTACAGGACTGGAGGAGAACGAGGCGGCTCTCCAAGGTCGGTCAGCAGGTAGGTGAGCCAGCGAAGCTCCTGTGCAGCCATGGCCCCGGCGTAGATCTCAGCCTCACAACTCGAGCCAAGAACAGAAGACGAGCGAGTAGCCCGCCACGAAACAGAGCCGGAACCAAGGCTGAAGGTGTAACCCTGTGACGACCGCTGCGTAGCCTGGTCGTCAGCCCAAGAAGCGTCCGCGTGCCCAGTGAGGACCACTGGACTCCGCCCTCCAAGCACTAGCCCCATGCCCGACGTACTGCACAAGTAGCGCAACACCCTCTTCGCTGCAGCCATGTGCTCTGGTCTGTGTCTCCCAGGAGCAACATAGCGTGCAAGAATGCTAAGAGGGTATGCAAGGTCAGGTCGTGTGCAGGTCATCAGGTACATGAGGCAGCCAACAAGCTCTGGGTACGGGCCACTCGACTCTACGGACTCATCCGAAGGCAGAGCTGAGAGCGAGTGGCGAGTAGACAGAGGAGTGGCCTGAGGCGAGGAGTACGTGAAGCCGAAGCGCTGAAGGACCTGCTGCACCATGTGTGACTGAGTCAGGGTAATGGTGCGGCGTGCTCTGTCCCGGGTGATCTGCAAGCCAAGGTAGCTGCGCAGTTCACCCAGGTCTGTGCACGTGTGTCTCTTCTGCAGCTCGGACTTCACGTAGGCGAGTCCAGCAGTGTCAGCTGTGGCAAAGACCAAGTCGTCGACGTACACGAGGATGTAGAACGGCGGCAGAGAGGTGTCGGTGCGTAGAAACAGCGACGGGTCGGCAGTAGAAGGAGCAAACCCAAGAGCCGCAAGCGTAGTCCTCAGTGTGTCGTGCCACTCACGTGGCGCCTGGCGGAGACCGTAGACTGGACGCCGGAGACTCCACTGGGTACCAGGAGGGAAAGACCCAGTGAAGCCAGGTGGGCGACGCAGCCAGATCTCCTCGTGCAGGCTGCCCTGCAAGAAAGCTGTGCTGAAGTCAAGAGAGTGCAGCTCGTAGTCACGGTGAGCAGCAGTGTGCAGCAGTACCCGAAGAGTGGTCATCTTCGGGGTGGGGGAGAAGGTCTGAAAGTAGTCAACTCCCTGCCGCTGACTGAAGCCACGAGCCACGTAACGCGCCTTGAAGACAGGCGGAGAACCCGGCGGCCGCTTCACCCTGAAGATCCACATGCCACTGACGATGTTCGCCCCAGGAGGGGGGACAGCGTCAACGTAGGTGCCTGTGGACTTCCAGGAAGCCATCTCTGCATCCATAGCTGCCTGCCACTGAGAGGAGTAGGGACCCTCTATCGCCTCCGCGTAAGAGCGCGGAGTCGGGATGTCAAGTGCATCCGGGTCTCCCTCAGGGGTAAGCAGTACGGACACGAGATGAGGTGAGGCAGCTGCCAGACACTGGAACTCCTCCTGCCTGTCCTCAAGGACGTCCGTGCCAAGGGCACACTCACCCCCGACGGACGGAGGACAGACAGACTCAGACTCAGCGACAAGACTAGCAGCGTAGTCTAAGCGACAGCGAGCAGCAAAGTCGACGAGCTCAGTAACGAGAGCAGACGCAGCAGTAGACTCGAAAGAAGGGTCAGTGACAACAGTAGCAAGGAGACGCGTGACAGTAGGACTGGCAGCACGAAGAGAGTCCGACTCCGGGTCGGGAAGAGCAGGAAGAGAGGACTCAGGAGGAGAAGGCAAAGGGGCACGCAGAGGAGCAGTGGACGGACGCAGAGACATCCGGTGCGTGCCAGGGACAGGAGGAGGACGCTGACGCGAACCGCGACCACTAGTGCGAGCAGCACGGACAGGCGACGCAGGGCGAGACGCAGGCTCACGACGCTCAGCCAGACCTCCAGTAGGACCAGTGTAGGGAGAAGGAGCAGGCAAAGGGGAGGTAGGCTGCAACTGTAGCTGGGACGAGACAGGCTGTGGACACTCTAAGGGAGGAGGAGGACCAGTAGAAGGTGGAAGACCAAGAACCTGCTGCAGGAGTGGAACGAAGTACGGTCGAGGCCGCGCGGCGACGCTAGAAGCAGCAGGGACAGCACCAGAACCCTCAGCAGGAGCACCCGCTCCAGCAGCACCACCAGTAGCTCCAGAACCTCCAGTAGCACCAGGAGCACCCCCAGTAGGACTGCCAGCGGTAGTCTCAGCGCCAACACCCTCAGCAGCACCAGCTCCAGTGCACCCAGGACGAGCACCTCCGGGACCCGCGACCGCAGCACCCTCAGCAGCCGAAGGACCTCCAGCACCAGCAGCACGCCTCCAGCGCCGGGCAAACCACTCACGCAGCTCCTGTGGAGAAAGTGGCTCCCGGCGAGACGAAGCACTCGGAGAACCGCCAGGCGGAGCACCTCCAGGCTCAGCACCCCCAGGCGTAGCACCCCTAGGCTCAGCACCCCCAGATGTAGCACCCCTAGGCTCAGCACCCCCAGGCTCAGCACCCCTAGGCTCAGCACCCCCAGGCTCAGCACCCCCAGGCTCAGCACCCCCAGACGTAGCACCCCCAGGCCCAGCACCCCTAGGCTCCGCACCCCCAGGTACAGCACCCCCAGCCTCAGCACCCTCAGCAGCACCAGAGTCACCAGTGACCTCGACAGGCTCGACTGCGTCTACCTGGGACACACCTGAAGGGGCAGGACCCTGAGGGGGGAGGGGGTCTACCTGGGGGGGACCTGGTACCAGGAAGAGTGGGGGTGGGGGGAGGGACGGAGTGCGGTAGGGGAAGAGGCGGTAGTAGGGGACCGACTCGTCAAACGTGACGTCCTGGGAGGACAGAACACGGCGAGAGGTGGGGTGGTTAAAACTGCCACCCAGGCGCGTCAGGGGGGAACCCCAGGAAGACGCAAGGAGCAGCACGAGGGGATAGTTTGTCCGCAGACCGGTCGCGGACAAACGCCCGAGATCCCCAGACCCGGAACGCCGACGCATCGCCAACCTTCCCCGTCCACAGCAAGGCTGGGGAGGTCTCCGGCCTGGAGACCCTGGGGTGGAGGTTGATCTGATGCGCCGCGTACCTCACCGCAAACGGCCACAGAAAATGGGGGGCAGCCGCATGCATCATAGACGTACGAGCGACGTCCATGACCATGCCAATGCGGCGCTCAGCAATCCCATTTTGCTGCGGTGAGTCCGGAAGCGTGAAGGTCTGACGGATGCCCCGTGCACGACAGTAGGCACGCAGAAGGCCAGAGAAGAACTCTCCGCCTCGGTCCGAGTGCAGACGCAGAACAGGAAAGTCCGAGCCGAAGCTCTGCCTGAGCTGGAGACGAGCTGCGCGGATCCAGTCGATCAGCACCTCAGTGACATCACCCTTGCTGCGCAAGGGGAAGACTGTGGTGTAACGCGAGTAGTCGTCAACAACGAGCAGGAAGTAGCGCTCGTGACCCTGTCCACGGACGCGGGCTGGGCCCCACACGTCCATGTGAAGTGTCTGCAACGGGGCCTCTGTCGAAGGAAACTGGGAGGAGTGAGGGGCAGCACGCTGGCGCCCCTCAACACAGGGGACACAGGCAGGGCCAGGGCCCTGAGGAAGGGGAGGGAGGGACCGGGGGAGACCGGACACAAGAAGACGGGAGGCCATACCTCTGAGCCGAAGCAGAGAGGGGTGGCCAAGGCGGTGGTGCCAGAGGAGAGTCTCGTGAGACAGGAGACGACACGAACAGGGGGCAGACTCAGGACCAGACCTGGACGCCGCAGCAAACACCTGACCCGACGTAACTACCCTACCAGACTCAGCAACTGGAGGAGACGCAGTGGTCAGAGTGTACAGGCTCGACCCCGGCTGACGGGTGAACGTAGCCAGGTGTCGGCCTGTGCCAGCCTCTGTACAGTGGGTCACTCGCTGACGTGCAGGAGTGAACTGGTGGACACCCGCATCCTGTAGGTCAGCACCACTCACCAGGTTCGTCGAGAACGAGGGGAGGTAGAGACCAGACAGGGTGCCAGAGGGAGCCGCCGGACACGGGAGGACTGTGGAGAAACGAGACAGGACCGGACCCCCAGAGGGGTCAGCCAGAGACACCGCAACCGGCCGACTAAGCGGCGTGAGTGTGGTGCGGTCCCGAAAGAAGGAGCGAGACGCCCCAGAGTCAAGAGTGAAGGTGAGGGAGGCCGAAGCCGACGCGGTACCTGAGAGAGCAGACTCACCAGTACCTGAGGACGCAGACACACCAGCACCTAGAGCAGCAGCGTCGTAAGCACCTAGGGCAGCAGCCTCACCAGTACCTAGAGCAGCAGTCTCAATGCCCGGATCGGGCTGGAAACACCGGTAACAGTCACCCTCATCACTTAGAGACACAGCATACATGGCAGAGAGAATAGCATCAAAGTCCAGATCAAAGATGGCAACCCCCGCCCTAAACAGCTCGTCCCAGCGAGGGATCTCGGAGGCCTCCGGGAACTGGTGACGCCATGCGTCCGTCAGGCGGCCAAAGCAGCGCGGAGTGGGGTGCGCACCCCCACACTGCTCACCCGCACGGTCGCCGGTGCGCAGGACGTAGGTACACGGACCAAAACCCCCACCCCGCTGGCGTGCAGTGTACCACTCACGGAGCTGCTGAGGGGACAGGGTCGCACGACCACGCTGCTGCTGCTGGCGCGAGCCACCACCGGAGCCACTCCTCTGCAAAGACCCGCGACCAGCTCCACCGCCACCCCCACCGCCTCCACCGCCTCCGCTGCCTCCACTGCCGCCGCCGCCTCCACCGCCTCCTCCACCGCCGCCTCCTCCGCCACCTCCGCTACCACCGCCACCGCCGCCGCGGCCTCCGCCTCCACTGCCGCCACCGAACCCCCCACCCCCACTTCCACCTCCACCGCTACCCCCACTCCCCCCACTGCCTCCACCTCCACCTCCACCGCCCGCTCCTCCAGCTCCCTTGCCCCCCTTGCCCTTGCCAGGGCGGCGTCTCCCGCTAGGGGCAGACGCCGCACCGACCGACTCAAGACCAAGGAGGTCGGCCGAAGCAGCAGAGGCAACAGAGGGCAGCAGGGGGGAGGGAGAACACCCCTCAAAGATGGGGGTGCGCGGGTCACCTCGAGAGGCTCCTACAGCGACTATGCTCTTTTCTATCGCGAGGAGGGCCTTCTCGAGGAGGTCTACAGTGAGTGTGGTGGGACAGACTGAGAGAAAGTGGTCCCTGACTACTCGAAGGGAGTCAGGGAGGCGAGTGACTAGGAAGTACAGAGTGATGTACATGGGGGGGGGGTTCGCGGTGCAGAAGTCAGCAGGAAGTGCAGCGCGGTAGCGAGTGTCACTAGTGCGGAGGTGCGTAATGAGGTCAGCAACGGTGGGAAAAGAAGCAAGGTCAGGGAAGAGGTACGGCAGCATGAGACGGCTCAGTGCAGCAGTGGAAGGGGAGGAGTAGCGCGCGACTACAGCGGCGTACAAGGTCTGAGCACTCTTGTACTGACTAAAGTGCGCACGCTCGGAGGTAGGGAGGTGGCGACGCACAGCAAGACGTGCAGCAGCATCGCGCGTGGCCCATTGGGAGCGAACAGTGGCGTCAGCATCAGCAGCAGGGGCAGGGGAAGCGCCAGAGGTGAGGTCAAAGAGAGAGAGGCCCGTCCGCCCTATCGCACTGTAAGAACAGCTGTAGGTCATCTACCCAGACCTCAAAGTCAATGGCCCGACCCTCAGCGTCAAAAGTGAGGACACTAGGGGTAGCCATGACAGCAGTAGACCAGCAGTGCAAGGAGTAGGGGAAGAGCACGCAGTGACAGAGGGTCTGTGCTCACCGGACAGGGCTGCTCGGGCGGCTCGGCTGCAGGGCGGCTCGGCCGCTGGGCGGCTCGGCGGCTGGGCGGCTCGGCGGCTGGGCGGTCGGCTGCACGGCGGCTCGGCTGGTGGGCGGCCGGGCGGCTCGGCTGCAGCGCGGCTCGGCGGCGGGGCGGCTCGGCTGCTCTGCTGCTGGGCGGCTCGGCTGCGCTGCTGTTGGGCGGCTCGGCTGGGCCGCTGACGTAGGGCGGCGGGGCCGCTGTAGAGGAGTGGCGGGGCCGCTGCAGAAGGACGGCGGGGCCGCTGGGTAGTGAGGCGGCGGGGCCGCGAAGACGGGCGGCGGGGCCGCTGCAGAGAAGCGGCGGGGCCGCAGTGAAGGGCGGCGGGGCCGCAACGAGAGAGGCGGCGGGGCCGCAGCGAGAGAAGCGGCGGGGCCGCGAAGTCGGGCGGCGGGGCCGCTGAGTAGGGCGGCGGGGCCGCAGTGAGAGGCGGCGGGGCCGCAGCGAGAGAGGCGGCGGGACCGCGAAGACGGGCGGCGGGGCCGCTGAGACGGGTGGCGGGGCCGCAGTGAGTGGCGGCGGGGCCGCAGCGAGAGATGGCGGCGGGGCCGCGAAGACGGGCGGCGGGGCCGCAACGAGAGAGGCGGCGGGGCCGCAGAAAAGGGGGGCGACGGGCCGTAGGCGGCGCGAAGCCGCAGGTAAGGGCGGCGACGGGCCGGGGCGGCTCGAAGCCGCAGATAGAGGCGGCACGAAGCCGCGGGAAGGGCGGCGACGGGCCTGGGCGGCGCGAAGCCGCAGGTAGGGGCGGCGCGAAGCCGCCGGTGAGGGCGGCGCAAAGCCGCGGGTAAGGGCGGCGACGGGCCGGGAAAAGGGCGGCGCGCCGCAGCCGCTAGGGCGGCTCGACGCGACCGTAAGGGCGGCGCGACGGGCCGCTAGGTGCGACTCGACGGGTCGCTAAAAAAAAAAAGGCAGGCGCGACTCGAGGCGCGCTTCGGTGGGCCCAAGGAACAGTCCCTAGGAGGGGACCTGCTCTGATTCCATGTGATAATGAGAACGAGAATGAGTGAACTATGAAAATGAAGTGAGTACAAATATGAAACCCTAATTGGTTGTACCCCCTATGGGATACCCCACTATAGCCTACACAACAGCATAAGCTATAATGTTCTGACAAGAGTTCCAATCCTCTTCAAGTGATTGTACGCGAGCTCCGCGGAGTTGCCGTAGCCTCGGTAAGACCGTATGTTTTGTTGTTGAGTTGGAGTGATGTTCCTCAGTAGTATCGTGTACGCCATCATCGATTGATAGGTGTACTGCTGCTTCTCATACTGTGTGCCGTTTGTTGGGTATGGCAGGGACCCGTCGAAGAAGCCAAGGATTTGCGCTCCTTCCATCATCAGCTCGAATTCGAACGACCAGGTAAAGAAATCCTTCCCGTCGAAGGGTTTTGTCGTTTGCAGTTTTAGAACGTGCGCGAACTGCGACTGAACTTGTAGTGCGTCCAGCGTTCTCTCTTGTCCCGGTGC